ACATCAAAGAATGTATTCAATCTGTAAAATTACTCAATTCCAAAAACTTTTAATAGGCTTCCATTCATGTTACCCGCACCGAGCGCCCATGGATTCTAATCGATTATGAAACAAAAACAGAGAAAATACTAAATTGAGAAACAAACTCAAATTAATTCACTAGGAGTTTTGAGATAATTTTACTAAAACTTAGCTTATAAATTATATCTTGAGAAAAAACCCAACATAAGAAGCCTCAAAAATTTATATTTATGAGTTATTCATTGGAAAATTTGTTATCATTTGATATATTAGGTATATTCATATGAGAACTCAGGTGTTTTGAGGATAATTTTGGTGAAGTAAACCCAACGCCGACTTCTTTTGGACAATGATACATGAAGCAGAAATCAAAAACTGGCTTCCAAGATCTACATTTCATTATTTTGGATGAAAAATTAGAAAAACTTGATGTGGAAACCTTTTTGGAGAAATTATAATGGAGCTTGCTGAAAATTTTAAATCAAAATGATACTTTAGCAGAAACAGACGATAATTATAAAAAATTTAACATGAAAAATTTCAACAGTAAAATTTTGTTCTTGTTAGCTGCATTTTTTTTTTCAATTAGAAAATTAGGTTTGCTGAATCGATTTTTTTAGACGCGCTCTCTTAGAAGCAATTAGATGTTGCATTTGTTAGGAACTAGGTTCCCTTGCGTATTTCTACTTCGGAGGTTTCCAGCTTATAACAAATAGAGCCGCTCTTAATTTGTTGTTAAAGTTCAATCTAAAAATACACCTTTATATTCTAAATTTTTACATCTGCTTTTGAATGCTTTAACTAGCACCGATTCTTTCTCACTCGGACATTTTTGAGAAAACAAAAATTAAGAATAAAAAGGGCTTTAAAAACTATTTTGCAAGAAAAGTGACGGTTATACATCCCAAAATTCGTATTTTTGCTTAAACAGTTTACTGTAGCAACTGAACAAGGAAACCTGAAGGAAAACATGTACAAAATACATGGTATTAATCAGACGTTATCAGTTCTAATTTTGTCTCTGCCATTAAATTGTTCGTTCAATTGATACTATTTTCTCCTAAATTCTTCAGTTCTGACTAAATTTTCTTGCAAAGTGAGTTCAAGACCGAAAACATTTAATAAGTAGAAAACAAGAATAAACTTTAGAACATGACACTTTTTTCCCGAAAAATCATGAAAATTATGTTGCAGAAGCAACAGGGAGATAATCATCAGTCCTGATGAAGATTTTGTTGAACTTCAATCAACAGCTAACATTCTTTTTAGAAAAAATTATCTCGTTTTTAGTCAATTTTAGCAGTTAATTGTACGTTTTTTATCACTGATTTGAAATTTTTGTAGTTGTAAGTTTTGTTTAAATTTGGGTTAATCATTGAGAAAAAACGGAGGAGGATTTGGATCATGGAGTTTGATCTAGAAAATTGAATGAGTATTGCTCTTTGTTTATTCGATTGATTTGAGATTCATCTAAAACTGGACAAAAACCAGTTAATTATCGAAATAAAAGGATAAAAATTGTAAACTTTGGATATATTTGATTCATGTTTACTTTACTTTGTCAAAAATTACGATTCTTTTCATTATTTTCCGGAAGTTTCAATATTGATTTTGCTATTATGAGCTTTCTTTTTAAAGTTTAGAGCATCATATAACCCGCTTTTTAGCACAAATTAAGGTAAACTTTATCGTATTCCAAAAATTTGAGAAAAAATTGTGGAAAATGCTTTTTTTTCAAATTTTTGTATCATTGTCTCAATATGATGACAATTAAATTACATTTTGAGCTCAATTTTAAACTCTGTACGTAAAAGTATTTTTTGAATTAGATCAGACGCAACAATACATGCGAAGGTACAGTAGATTTGAAGTCATTATGAGCTTTCCCTTTGATGTTCAGAAACTCATATAACCTGCTTCTGAGTTCGCATTAGGGTAAATTTTATCATAATTTATTGTTTTGAGTGATAATTGTGGAATATCCAAATTTTAGCAATTTTTTCCAAAAACCTTGGTTTTTTCGAAGTTTCAGTAGCTTTCAGCATTGTTTCATGGAATAAAAAATCTGATAAAAAATCCAAGTTTTGATAAAAAATCTAAGTTTTTGCCCAAAAGTTTTGATAAAAAATCCAAGTTTTTGCCCAAAAACTCTTAACATTGACTTACCATGTACCAAAAAACTTAAAAAAAGTACTTCATTTTACAATCTTCACGTAATTAACCAGTGATATTTAACAATTAGATAACGATCGCCGAAATATTTGCGAAAAAACTAGACACTTTCACACAAAATCCAAAAAAAATTGTTTTCCTACCATTCTCTTACCATCACACAAGCCATGGAACCTTACCATTGGTATTCCATATCCTAATACATTGTAGATTCTTTACCCAATCTTAATACATAGGTGGAAGACCGCATGCTCTATTCCCTATCTTAAAACATGGGGGTCTTCCACCTCCCCCCACTTTAGCTCCAATATCTACTACTGATATATTACCACAATCGTTTATTTTCGTGTGCTCTTTGAAGTTCATGAATGACTCTAGCTACCATTAAATCACCGTTTGCGGTAGATACTTCGCTCATGAAGATGACAAAAGTACTGAAAAACTCTTACAGAAAAAATGAAAGACGGTTTTTTCACAAATTTGGTTGATTATTTGAAGCCAGTATAACAGGCCCGTTTTCAGAAACGTATTTGGAGTTTGCCTAACTACCAGACTTCTTAATATTCCGCCCAACTTCTAGATACGTCACGAAACTTCAGCTTTGGAAGGGTTTTCAGCGCAAAATCAGGCACATCAAAAACGCCCGTTTGTCATTGAATCTGGTATCTATTAAAGATTTTTCCGTCTCAATCTGGATTTCTTAAGGAAAAATTGTTGGAAAAACAATCCCAAGGGCAAAAAGTTGGCTTGAATTATCCGTTTAACCCATTTATTTTCAGACAGCAGAGAATGTATTCAATCTGTAAAATTACTCAATTCCAAAAACTTTCAATAGGCTTCAATTCATGTTACCCGCACCGAGCGCCCATGGATTCTAATCGATTATAATCGATTCCCGAGACAAAAATAATCAATTAAAATCCATTACGGATTTAAAATTCAGACCACGAAATTGATTATATAGCCATTATAATCGATTATTTTTGAACAAATATAATCCATTATAATCCATTATAATCCATTATAATCTATTATTTTTGTCACTGAAATCGATTATTTTTGCCAAGATAATCCATTATAATCGATTATTTTGAAAAGAAAATCCATTATAATCTACTATAATTGATTATAATCCATTTCATTTTTAGAACTAAATTCGATTATTTTTGCAAAATTTTGCAAATTTTGCGAGAAGTTTGCAGAATTTATGCCATGTCTTTTACTAAATGCCATGTCTCAACTTCATCCCCTCGCCCCCTCAAGCTTTTTACCCCCCCCCCCCCAACTAAAGGTAAAATGAATTGTTAAACTGCGATGAATTAGAAAAAGTTGAGACAAAAAATGTATAATTTTTTTCTTAAATGTAACATTTTATGAAACATAACACGTAGCAACTACACTAAACAGGAAATGAGATCATTTTGAACAAAATTGTAAAATTCATGAATAAACCCTCGAAAAAATCCATTATAATCGATTATAATTGATTATAATGGATTTTATTGGGATAAAAAATATTAGGATTATAATCCATTTTTAATGGATTACAATCGATTATTTTTTCATTTTATAGATGCTGGTATGAACTAGCATCTATATGACAATATAATCGATTGTGATCCATGGGCGCTCGGTGCGGATATGACTTTGCTAATTCGATTGGAGCTCATCAGCTTTAATTTATTTTCAAACAAACCAAATTTGTTATATATTTTTTTAACTCTTAGATTATTTTTTCTGCAATTCAGTGCCGTGGTCGGCATTCGTGCTAGTTGCACAGCGAACACTTATTATTGTTTTAACTCACTTTCCAAAAATACATTTCAAAAAAATGATCTCACTATCGAGAAAATTGATCTGAATTTTTTCGTTTTCGTTTAGAAGACAATTTATGGCAGGGTCTTCTTGCTTGCTAATGCTTCCAGTTTTAAGTGTTGAAAATCAATTATATTATGACTTTGAAACCAGTCTTACTAAAATTGAGAAAAAATTGTTTTTATCATTTAATAATCGATTATGGTCTCTCTTTTGAGAACAAATTATAATGCAATTTAATCAATTATGTTCGACTATTAGGCCCTCCATTTTTCTATACAAACATCATTAATTATATTCGAGTATACTTTATTATTTTTATCCCAGTTTTCAATTCATATGTTACGAACAAAAATCTTTGATAAAGTTACTGAAAAATTTATAAATCAATTGAAACTAAATGTGACAAAACATTTCACTTTAGGAGATTTTGTCATAGACAAAAAATAGTAAGCCATAGTATTTGATTAAAACTTTTTTTCATTAAATGTGACAAAATTTTTGGCAAAGTAAGCGATTTTTATCGAATATAATAGATCAAGTTGATTAAAAGAGGTTTTTGTACGAGTTATAATCAATTGTAATCGATTATAAAATATTCTAATCTCATGGAAAATATCACGATTAAAATCCGTTATAAACCTTCGGAACACCTAAGTTTTGGTAACTCAAATCAACATAACAATCCGCTACAATCGATTACTTACGCCTAAACTTGAGTGCGGGTACAAATAGGCTGGGTCTATACAACTAATTCGACTTTTACTGTATTTTATTTTGTGTAGTTTTGCCTTCAATTGAGACTGTTAACCCAAAACCGGCTATCAAGGAAAAAGTAGGCTTTGAAAATTTAAATTTGAAATTTTTTAATTTTGTTTTTGTCGCTTTTTGTATATCAAACTTTCAGGATCAAAATTGTGGTCGTGTCGAATTGGTTCATTTGTTGTTTGTGAGTGAACTCAAATTCAAAACATCTAAAAATAAATACATACCCATTCTTTTTATTATGGCCATTGATGAGTTTTCCACAGTTGCCAACTTTTGAGCTGTGCTATGACTTAAAGTGTTCTCACACTCTGACTTCAAATTGCGAAGTTCCTCAGTTAGCCGAGTGTTCTCATCGTGTAACGACTGGTACCTATTTTCTCGCTCGGTTTTTTGGTGGTTCAACTCTCTTTGTTCTTTCAGAATTCTTTCGGCTTCGAGAAGTTTCGTCTTGAGGATTATGATCTCATTTGATTGGGAGTTTTTGGCTTTTTCAAGAGAAGAGATTTTTTCTTCCAAGAGGGATAGCTGCTTGTTGGCAGCAGTTCCGGTAGGTAAGGCGATCTTAAACATCAGTAACTTTTGAATTAAGTTTCAAAATAAACGGCGAAAATAGCGTCTAATCAATTTTAAAGTCTCAAGTCTATTTCAATGTGTGAAAAACTCAATCGAACAAGCGTTCAAAAGTCGTTACAAGAATCACTCATACAGCACAATTTAAAAATATATGTTTTAGCTATTTTAAGCGCCGCTTTAGTGTTAGTTCTTTTAATGAATTTTGGAAAAAAATGATGTATTTGCTCACTTACTTCGTCACTTTTGCTGTTGCTTCTGTAGCTATTCAGTTTTATATCCAGTTTTTGCTCGGAATTTCCATTTATGGTAATATCAGGCAGCCGAGCGTAACTTTCAGTCGGCTCGCTTTCGTGTTCGTTGAATCCGTTCATCGACAATGCCGATATGTTTGAAAACTTTTTCAAAATTTCGTCGATAGATCCAAGCGTGCTTTCGTGAGGGTCTCGCGTGTCGGTTCTGGAATCCGAAGTTCTTCGTCTCTCATTGCTGAAACCCGAGTCGTAATCGTCGTGATTAGTGTCGTTTGTTGTAAGAGAAGCTAGGAAAGTCGGCTCAAAGAGAGATTCGGCTGTTCGGTTCCACTTGACCTCAGTCTTTCCAGGCGACAAAGTCACTGCACTTGACCTTGGAACTGGCAATTCTATCGGTTTCATATCTGTCAATCAAAATGAAACCATAGCAAGGCATATTCAATGAAAATTTGAAAAGTTTTGATTCTAATGATATTAAGCAAAATTACAACGTAGAAGTTTTTTTGTAGCGGATTACAATAGGTCTTTCAAGTTTTTAAGACCAGTTACTTCTTTTTGAGCACAGAAGTTAAGTAGCAACTAGGACTCGCGATGAAGTGGCTAGAAAGTGTCCGACTACGGATCGAGTTTATCTATAGACCGTGCTCGCTACTTCAGGTTGAGTCAAAACTACACAGCCTAAGAAAAAGCGAAAAAAAGTGCGTCCAAGAGAGCAAAAGTAATTCAAGGACACAGCTGAACAGATCTTAGATTGCTCATTTTCTTACAAAACGCACTCTCTGTTTCGGCTCTTTTTGTTCCGACTTTCGATACAAAAGTAACGGAACATTTGTGCTCGGCGTGGGTTTTTTTTTCTTCGGACAAATTTCGACTTTTTAACTAGCCATTTTTGACAGAATTTTTTTATATCTTTCGAAAGGTATTGTTGTCCTGAGCTCAAATTTGAAAAGATATTTCATCTGTGATCATTTTTCGTAAAGTTACAGTGGTTGAAAGATTGCCATTTTGGCCATTTTGACCAATTTGGGACAATTAACGAGCGATATACAGTGCCGATTTAAATTCACCGGACAAAACGCGTTAAACTTGAAATTTATAACGCGTTTTCCTCAAATTGGTCGAGTTTAGGTGAAAACTTATGAAGACAAAACTTGCTTAAAACTTAAGCAGAATTAATATGGTGTAATTTGTTTTGCGAAATTCGGGCCCAAAATTTTATTACCCCAAAAATGGGTCAATTTGGTTTTTCTTAGTTGATCAAAAATTACGCCAAAAAAAATCATGTATCGATCACAGATACAATTATATCAAAGTGAGCCCCTTACGTAGTCCAACAAACTTTAAGAAGGGTATATTCTCTAGAAAAAAATTGCAAACCGTTTAAAAAATGTTTTTATATAAAAAGTTGGTCTTTTATATAGTAAAAACGACCTTTTTTGTCTATCAAACAAAAATAAATTAAATTATACAATGTTTTGGAGAATAGACCCTTACTTAAGTTTGTTGGGCTACGTAAGGGGCCCACTGGATATTTTTGGCGTAATTTTTGAATAACTAATAAAAGCCAAAATGACCCACTTTTGGGGTAAAATTTCGGACCCGAATTTCGCAAAACAAATAACATCATATTAATTCTGCTAAATTTTAAGCATGTTTCGTCTTCATAAGTTTTTTTTTCCTTAACTCAACCCAATTTGAGAAAAACGCGTTTTAAATTTCAAGTTTAACGTGTTTTGTCCGGTTAATTTAAATCAGCACTGTACTTCGCGCTATTAACGCGTAAGCGGAGAGTTAATCCGTCTTAGAAGTCGCTCCAAATTGGTTGAAAGAAGCTTATTTGCCATAATTGATTTGTTACAAGGAACGAAATCTATCCTTTTGTACTTTACATGACGTTTGGGGCGATGATTTTCATTAAAAAAGTCAAATTTTAGAAGAAAAAAATTCATTTTATTTTATTTCATTCTTTTTTTTGTGTTATTTACAGCTCCATAAACCAAAAGGCAGTCGGAACATTCAGGGCTTCGCCCTGGTACGAGCAGTCTTGTTTCAGTTTTATGGTTTAACGAGTGGTTTCAAAAGTTTGATTATGGAAACCATATATGCTTGTCGTGGCTTAATTAGCCCGCGTGTGAGATTTCATAATAATCGGACAATGCGAACAGTATTTTCTGTGAAAAAACGCATGTGGGAGAAAAAGGAAAAAGAGCGCTCATTTCGACTAGGCATTAAACAGTGCGAATGGACGGAACTAACTCGGGTCTGACTTGACAATGATCCTGGTCCTTTCCCTCGTTACCTCAAAAGGTGCCAGCTGGTGTTGCGTCAGAGTATACTGCTGATAGTCTAGTTCCTCTTCTACTTCCTGTTTTTTATTCGCTGTTCTTATTGTTGTTGTCGTTGTTGCTGCTGTTTTTGTTTGTGTTGTTTTGTTCAGTATCTGCAGTTGGCCAATGTGAATGCCAGTTGGGACTGGGAAGGGCAATGACTCATACACTTCACCCACTGGGTCGAAGTTGAGGCCGATGTACGAGTCCTAAATGGGAGATTTTATTTATAAGAAAACATTTTTTGTATGGAGGGATTTAAATAGCAAGTGAAACAAAATTACCTCGGTATTTGTTGGGAATAACTATTTTGGAAAACGCAAGAAAAATTAACAATCAGGCAGATTTGTTAAAACTGAATAGCATATAATTTGAAATATTAAATTGAACTTTTTTTTACAAAAGCGAGTTTAAGTCATAGTTGTGTAAGAGTTGTTGTTTTCTCCAAATGAAAACAGTGACTAATAAACTGGTAAATTTTTAAAAGAAATCTCTGATGTCTTTAAAAATTTATCGGACACGTTTATAAAAAATTAATAAAGTTTGAATCATTGACCCACCTGCAGTAGAAAAGTAGAAATTTATTGCTAAATATTTGTCTTTTCCAATTTTAAGCGTCTTAACATTGAGCGACAGATTACATATGGATGCGTTCCATGGATAAATCCATAGCCATACGTAGTTCAATAAAGAGCCTGCCTATGCTATTGAAATATTATTGAGTACAGATGCATTTTTTGCAACATGACTAATCTGTCTTGAATTATGAGCTCTATTTTTTTTCAATTCAATTTCTTAACCGCTGAAAAAAGCCTGCAAAACATCAATTTTCAAAGAGAAAAATTATATTTGTGAATGATTTTTTCGAAGAAACAAATACTAACATGCTCTAAAATGTCCCTAAAAGAAATGAAAGAACCGAAAAACAAAAAACTTCACTTTACTTCAACGGGTTTTAACAAAAAAAAATTTAACTAAACTGGGATCTCTCCAAATATTTCCTTTTTTTGCAAAGGGGGTTTCGCTGCGACTATATGCTTGATCATTGATTTTAATTGTTTATATGGGTCGTTATGCGGTACTAAATTCCGTAGGGTGGGGTGGGGGTGGGGTAGGTAAAGAGATCCAAAACTCAGTACTACGCATGTGAGTTCACAGAGACTTAGGTTCCAAGACCTAATAAAATTTTCGGGCCTGCCTGGCTGATAAATTTTCATAACTATTAGCTTGCGCAATTACAAAGGTTACTCAGTTTGATACGGCCCGCATCGGTTTCAAGTTTTAGTTGCAAATGAGAGAAATAACTCCATGCTGATTGCGCTAACAGCCGCATGCTAAGCGGCACGCGTGCAAGTAGGCCGGTCCCCAATTTTGATATACTTTCTAACAGACTTCGTTAATTGTCCCAGTATCCCCCCATAAATTCCTTTGTAAATTGAGTTACATTTTCGGGGATGAAAATGCGGACGTCTACATCTTGTTCTGAGTTGTCGTCTTGATGGAACCAGTAGAACACTATATTGGTCCGATTGGAGTCCTCGGCTGCAAACTCACCTGAAAAAAAAATCATTCGGGCTGTTCAATAACGACCTCAGAATTGTCATGATTCGTTGGAATATTGGTATAAATTTTACTTAAGTAGAATCATTTTTAAATATTTATTTTCGAATTATATGTTATTGCCTTTCTCCATGATGGTGGCGTATTTCAAATGTTGTGTGTGCGGATTAGACATATAGTTATAACTTCTCTCCATAAATACGCGACAATATGATCGAGTGTTTCAACTAATACGAAGCTTGTCGAAACTCTTGCCTAACTTTAAAATTTTTTCAAAAAATTATCATTCCATGTTGTTTCAACCACGAAATGGAAAGGAGCTACATTGTCCTGTGTTTAAACATTTTTTGACATGTGAATCGAATCATGTCTACAAAGACCAGGGGCGGATCTAGGATTTTCTCGAAGGGGGGTTGGAAAACTTTGAAACTTTTGTCGACTTTTTTTTCAAATCACTATAAAGACAAGTGAGCAAATTTTTGAAATAATTGGCCTGTTTTTACCGGCAAAGTTCTAAAAAAACAGGCAAAAAAGGCGGTTTTAAGCAATGTTGGAAAATTTTAACCAAAAATTGTGTTTTTTTGGCGCGCGCTCCACCCTTAAATTTAATATATATTGGCGCCAAAGGTGCTTTTAGAAAAAGAAAAATATAAGGGCCAGTAAGCCAAAAATGGATATCCCAAAATAGTACAAAATAGGTTATAGTATGGGAAATATGCTTTCCCTCTTCCTATATTGACTTTTTGTTCGAAAGTAACGAAAGTCGATACGAAAGTAACGGAATATTTGTGCTCGGGATGGGTTTTTTTTTCTTCAGACAAATTTCGACTTTTTAACTAGCCATTTTGACGAAATTTTTTAATATCGTTCGAAAGATATTGTTTTCTTGAGCTTGGATTTGAAAAGATATTTTACCTCTGATCATTTTTCTTAAGTTATGGGGGTTTAAAGACTGCCATTTCGGCCAATTTGGGACAATTAACGCGCGATAAATTTCGCGCTATTAACGCGTAAGCGAGATTTGATCCGTCTTAGAAATCGTTCCAAATTGTTTCAAGGATGCTTTTATGCCATAATTGATTTGTTAATAGGCGCGAAATCTATCACTTTGTACTTAATATGTTTTTACATAAAATCTCAAATTTTTTTTATTAATATGAACATTGAAAATGGGGAGAAAATTTGTACCCGGGTGAAATTTACTTTTTTTTATTTTTGTTTTCCACGCAAAGTCAGTTACCAAAACTCTTCATTATAATTAATTATTATCCATGAAACTGAAGTGCGCAACTGCTTACTTTCTTAGCGGTAAGTTGGCTAAAAACCTCACATAAGTCGATCAGACTATGAAAAAGATGCATTGTTTTGAAATACAAGGCTGTTTTGCAATATTTAATACCCACTGTAATTGAAAGGGTATAATTTTTTTTTTGTTCCGACTTTTGAGGAAACTGCGTAATGTGTGTGCTTGGAGTGGTTTTTTATTCATTCAATTTTTGACTTTTTAACTACGCGTTTTTGTCGGAATTTTTCTAAAGCAATGATTTTGTTGCCTTGCGCTCATTTGATTCGAAATTTTTTTTGACTTTTGAATTTGTTTTTCTTTCTTGAAGAAATTTTTGGAATGCTGTATTTTAGTCCAATGAAATGATTTTTCAGCGTTCTTCTAGATCAATTTCCCGGATCACGCATAAAAGTCGGTCTGCTAGGTTTTTTTCAAATTTTGTTTTACAAAACTGTGTCTAATTTTGCACTCCCGCCACTCTAGTTGTCATTAGCTTTGTGTTTAGCTCTTTATGGAGTACCCCGCCTCGAATTTTAATGGATAATAATCGATTTCGAACATTTTTTTTATGGCAAATGAAGCCGTCATTTTTAACGATTTCCGATAACAAACCTTTATTCATGAACTCCAATATTCTTTGGACTTTCGGAAAAAAAAGGGAATATTTATGCTTGGGGTGGTTTTTTTATTGAGACAATTTTGAATTTTTTAATTAAGCAATTTTGACGTTTTTTTTCATGCCATCTTAAAGATGTTAAAATACATAGCTCAAATTTAAAAAGATACCTCACTTGTGATTCTTTTGCAAAGTTATTGCTATTTTGTCAATTGGGATAATTAACACTCAATATATTGCGTTCTTGTGACACGCGTAAGCGGTAAACTAATACGTCCCAAATTGCAATTGAGGCCAGCAATTTTTTCCCATCAAAACAATATAGCCAACGCTTGTATTTTATATAGCGTTTGGGGGGATATATAGATTGAACTAAAATGAAAAAAAAAAAACGTTTTGTTTTGTCGATTATTTGTCAATTTATTAAGCGAAATTTTTTCAATTGGCCTTAAAGTCAGGGCTTCACCTTGATTTACCAGCAGTCTTTTTGTGTCTTTTCACAATTCACAAAAAGCAAGCCACAAAGATAGCCAGCTGCTGTGCAAGTACCACAGAATGTTCCGACGATATTCATTAAAAAAATTTTTCTAAAAAAAATTTTCTTCGATATAGTGTCGTTGCTATCGGGTGTTTTGATTCGAGAAGCATACGATTGCATAAAAAATTGGCGAATTAGGCATGATTGACAAAATTGTTTGAAAAAATTAATACCAAACAAAAAAGTACAAAAAAATTTAAGAAATTATTTTTTATGGTTTTTTGTACAATATTTTTACCAAAAAACAACCTTTTTAGTCAAATAGAGGCTGAAAAAACATCCAAATTTTGACTTCTTGATGATAAAACCAAGTTTTTGTGAGCCTCAAATTATAACAAAAAAATTAACTTCCATATAACAAACGTTACTTCGATGACGTTTTACGCTCGAAATTGAACTAAGAGTCAAAAACTTTAGACCAGTTTTCTCAACACAGGGAAACATTTCGAAAGTTTTTTTAATTTCAGTCACATCACGTCTGAAAGAGCTTTAAAATGATAGACCACTCAACAACGGTGATTATTTGAGGTGGTTGATTTTGCGTGTAAAAAAAGAAAAGAAAAGAAAAACCAAAACACACCCGAAAGCAAAATTTTTCGTCATTTTTGATTGTCGGAACAAAAATTTCAAGGCTATGCAATGATATTTTGCCTCTTTCAGTGCAATGTAGTAGGTAGCTCCCTTAAATTTCCATAGGGGGTTGATTTCTGAGACCGATTGGTTGGATATGCAGCGGATTGATGCGCAAATGAAACTTAGCGCGCCTAAAAATTTCCAAACTAGCATTTCCTAAGTTCCCATACCCTAGTCCAAAATGATCGCAGGTGAAGGTAGCTTTAATTATGAGATCAAGGTATCAACTTCTTTCAAACTGATATAAGAAATTAGGTCAAACATTGTGTTGTTGAAATTAGTCATTGCAGAACACCAAAAGAGCAGCAACATTTCAATCAGGCTATACCAGAAGTCATTTGTTCTTTTATCTCTGTCGGTTTCATGAATAGTTGGAAAAAATACTTCGTTCAATAAACTGGAAAATTATTCACTTTTAATAAGGTTTTAATCGTTAAAAAGGAATTGCTTGATCAAAAAATATCTGCTCTCCTGATCTTATGCATTGACTAGCTTTCAAAATTTTAACATTTCAAACAATCCGATGCAGCCGAATCTTTAATATTGTAGTTGATGTAAAACACGATGTAATTGAAAAAAAATGTCAGAAGTTTGACAAAACTTTGAAATGGCTGACCGACTAAACAGATTGGATAGGAAAAACACAAAGAATTGAGGAAATAGCATTAGGCAACAAAGACCCGCAGTTATTTACCTGTTGTATCGTCACGACAATCTTGTTCGCTGGCTACAGTTTCAATTTTTTCTCCTTTTTCTGGACACCTTCCAGAGGAAACTTCCATATTTGTAATTGCAGCAGTTGTAATCAACTAGATTTTTATGACTCGAGAGCTGAGGTTAACGTTATTTTCAGAATTCCATCTTTAGTTTTATTATTACTCATTTTGAGGTATATTCAAAAGTTTGTAGATAAAAAATCGTCCAGAAAAGCTATGTACATTGTTTTTTCTTTCTAAGTTTTTATTGATTTTTATTGATTGATAATAATATCTGTTTGAGCCGCTTATGAATAGTTTTATGTTTTCTAATGTGCAAATGCGGTGAGCAAAATCTATCAGTTGAATATTTTTATGAGAGCTTTGGCTTCTAATCCAAACGCAGTTTGTATCTTACCTACGTTTGAGAGTCACTCTTACCATGCGTGTCAGATAAATCTGTTTGTACATTAAACGAGAAAAATTGCTGGCTTTTGTACTACAATGATGTGTTTAATATAATAGTTCAATTATACGTTGTTTTTATTTCTCTGATATTAATCGTTGTTTAGAAAAATCTGAATGTTTTGAAGGTTTCGGAACACGTTTAGTAGCTTTAGTATAATTTTAATACATACGGACAAAACTGCTCGTGTCCGAGCTCGTGACTACCTCTGAAATTTTTAGAGTAATTTTGATTAAAAAACTTGTAATTTTTAAAAGATTTTTTAAAAAAGTCAATTTATTGTGAATATCTTTCGACCTCTAGCTATGTTAAAGTATGAAGTGAGGTATTTAACGTCTATAAAAATATTTTTAAAACCAAAAAAATTGCGTTACAACTAAAATAATTTTAATTTGGAAACATTTCTGAGACGATGGTTTAAAAAGCAGCTTACGCGCGTTTGTAGCACGAGTTATGTCGTGCGTTAGGGGCACATTGCACCGTTTTATGGCCTTCAATTTGAGTTATATCATTGCAAGAATGGCATTCAATCTCCTGCCATGGCAATCGAAAATAGTGAGGACAAGCTTGACCCCTAGCTTCAGGTCTGCCGTAGCCTATGACCGATTTCGGCTGCAGCGGTAGTACCTCGTGAAAGTTATAGGCACAAAAAATGCAGGAGTAAGCTTTGCTTACAAAAATCAATTTTCTGGAAACATAAAGTCGATCTCAAAGTCAAGAAATAAAAATCAATCTGAAGATGCTTTTGTTTTTATTTAAAAAAAGTTTTCACGGAAGACGCAGAAGTATTCCACAGAATATGTATGTTTGGAATGGTTGATATACCATCTGAAAATGGTTGCCCTGATCTTAAATTAAAATAAAACCACCTAGATCTTTTTTGCAAAAACTTGAAATCTTGAAATTGCTAATTTGGGCGATTTGGATTAGTTAACGCGCGATCTAATTTGAGTTGAGGCTAGTCACTTTGTGTTATTTTTAGAATGCGAGCAGCTAAATGTATTTTTTTTGTACTCCAACCTGGCATGTAAGCATAAAAAGAAGCCAAAACTGATTTCTTTTCTACGTTTTTTTAACAATTATGTATCAGACTTTTTCGAATCAAAAACATAGTCTTCAGCTTTAAGGATCATACCGAATCTCAGAGCTTTGCCCTGATATACCGGCAGCCTTGTTTGTCAAATAGATTCAAGTTTTAAACTGGCAGTTTAAGTGCAGTTTTTTTCCAGTCAAAATGTGTTGGATGCCTTGAGCACAAAATCAAAAAATGAAAAGTTGTATGCTTGATTGATTTTAACAATAACTAAAACTATAAGAAATTTGTATTTTTGGCCAATTTAGAAATAACTATTGTGCGATAGTTACCAGTGTTATATACCGCGTATCGGAAGCTTGCAGCAAGCTCAAAAACCAATTGAAAAAGAGTTGGAGCAAATGAGTATTGAAAAACTGGCAAAAACTTGTTGCACTTTTAAAAAATGAAAATACTTTCAGACGTTCAAAAAAATTACGGAATATGAAAACGATAGAAAAAGCAAAAATCCCAAATTCTTGCTGATGGCCATCCATTGCAACAACAAAAACAATGATGGGGCTGCGTTCGACGAGAAAGAGAAAAAACAAATTCCAGTCTCGTCATTGATTCACCAACTTTGATTGTTAAATTAAATCTACTGCTCATAAAAACAAAATTTGATATATTTTTTGCCAACAAATATCATACAAAAAAACCTGAGCAGCAATTCATTTTGGAAAGCAACAGTTGCGAGCAATCTCGGGAAGAGCTTTGAAATTTTTATTGGTAGCTTTGAAGCAAGTTAACAATAAACTACACGGGTTGACCAAAAATACTAGTCATACAATTTCCATATATGAGAAGTTGCTAGACATACACTTTCCATACAAGTCCATACGTTTAGAAAATTGTATGGAAATTGTATGAATAGTGTTTTTTTATAGAAAACAAAAAAAACTCGAATTCTCAATTGTAGCAGCCCAAAAAATGCTTACATGTTTTGCCAGCAGTTGCATTGATTATTCAAAGCTTTTTTTCACAAAAATTAAGAACAAATGCTAGTCGTACAATTTCCATATATGGAAATTGTATGACTAGCATTTATTTTTTTTTCATACCATTTTTTCCTTTTTTTTAGGAAGAGATACCAAAACAACAATAAAATACCTTTAAAACTCGATTAAACTCATTTTCCCAAAAATGTATAAAAATTGAATGACTAGCATTTTACCATAGACTAAGTGTATGAAATTGTATGATTAGCATTCTCGGTCCTTGGAGGTCAACCCGGGTATTTAAACCTAACAGCTAATTTTTTCCCCAAATCAAGAATAATGAAGACAAAATTATCTTTAGGAAAAAAAATGGTCTGTCACTAGTGTCTCAAAAAACTTGTAGCAATTAGATTTTGTACCGTTGTTGAAAATACTAATTCGATACTTGAATTAGGAGAATAGAGAAAGAGACAACTGATTTAAGTAAGATCAAACGAGACGATGTTTTAGGTGAAATCCAAAGGTGGCACACAATCCGAAGTCCAAACAACTGCTATGAAAATGAAACGAAATGATTGACAAAAGGAAATGTCTAGAACTAAACAGACTTAGATCACTGATTTAGCACTATGACTTACCCTCTTGTAAAATTTGAATAACTGCACTGGTAATGATTTAAATAACTGCACTGGTAATGATTTGGATAAATTTAAGTACTCAATGAAAGTTTTTGAACGCAAAGCTTAGCTCGGTCCCGCCGATCCTAGTTGACATAAAGCACTGAGACTAAGGCACTAACTGTGTAACATACCAATTTTTTTTTCATCCGCTAAAGTTTTTGAACGTCGCCTATTTGCCCCTTTCACTCATCTCTTTTTTCTTGAATACGTCCTCGAGATATGTGGTCAATCATGACCCCACCCATTTTCGTGACTGCCGTTCTTTTTCTGCTCAATTTTCTCGAATTCGTATCATTTTCCGAGTCTTGACTCGAATACGAGACTAGCCGTTGTTTTGCCGCTCGCTTTTTCCTTTCGCCCGCCGCCGGTACTGTTTTCGACGTCGTCTCCTGTGTGTCGTCCTCTTCACCGATTCTTGCTTCCGTTCCCCTCTTTTTAATTGCTTTCCCGCTCCCTTCCCCATCGCCGACGTGCCCGCCTCCTCGTTCTGCTCTCCCGCCAATTCTAGTGTCGCTCGCTCAGTCTCGGTTCGTCCTTCGCGCATGGTCTCAGTTTTTCCGTCGCTCGGTTCTGCCTGTATTTCGGGCAAATGTGCCTATGGCAGTTTTCTGCCGATCCTTCTTGTAGCCAACGGTTGGCTTTCGCTGTCTGATTCCGACTCCTGATGTGCTTGCTCGCCTATAGTGATCGCTCTGCCTCGTTTCGTAACCGATTTTTTCCGCTTCTTAGACTCTGCAATCGCAATTTTCTTGCGTAAGCCCGCTGGCGTGGGCGGCTTAGGGAGCCCTGTTGTTCGCTTTTTCGGAGTAGTGGTCTTACGAACTGCAACCTCGGATTTCCTAAGCAAGGTACCATGATTTATTTTCAGTGTGTGCGTACTTTCCGCGACAATTTTGGTATTCAATTTCCTGTACCTGCTTAGATTCCAATCCCCAGTGCGATGAAACACTGTACGGGATGGTCCAGTTTCGTCGCCCCTGTCCTTGAAAGGATGTAGCCGTTGGCTCATCTACCTGACTTACAGCCTGCCTTTGGGTTAGGATCAGCGAATGATTTCGCCCGGCGTCCCCCCGTACTCGTTGTCCGATCTCATGCCCCAATGAAAGTCCGCCGGCCTCGGAGTTTTCTGGGCTTCGGCGTCTAAACATGCAGATTTAGATTTTTTATCATTCGACTAATTCAAGTTTTTTAGAGATGGTTTTTTTAGTCAGATTTCAGAGTACTGTGTTGGCCTCCCTGCCGTGATGTGCGTCGAATGGCGTTATTTTTAGTGTTGCTTTTGGTGAAAATCTTAGTGCTCCCAGTGCTCGTTCCATCGGAGCAGTTTGTTTTGCATACCATCCCGGATGTCCATCACAAAAATCTATCCACTGCTACTATCACATACTTTTTCGATTCCTGTAAGTAAATGATAGGCCCCCAAAAATCTAGCTGAATCGCCTCATTCGGCTCTTTAGGTTCAAGTATCTTGCATAAATTTCCTTTAGAACACATAGGTTTTAGATTCCTACGGCGAGTATGCACTCCTGACAATTTTCGGCCATGATGGCGATATTTCTGTGCTTGTAAGATACCAAATATCCTTAGCCGCCGCAAATACATTGCTTTTTCTATGTTGGTAATAATGTAATCGATTGTTTATAGCTGTATGTAACGAATTTGGAACAACTAATTTATCGTCCATCCAAAATCAATTATCATTAATATGAAAATCATTTACAAATTGAGCCTAATATCGATTCATGGCATATATTTTGATGCAGTATCCGGGTCTTTAGATTTAATAAGTTGATAAATAGCTTCGATCTGGGGGTCTGAGGGATATTGCGATTCAATGAACCGTAGGTTGAAAAATTCTGATAATGCTGTAGTTTTTGAGACAACTTTGCAAGTTCGAGGACTTACCGACATAATTGTATTAACTGGGTTAACCGTTGGAAATATTTCGCCGGGAAAGTTTGATGGAATTGATAAGCATAAAAAGAAGCCAAAACTGATTTCTTTTCTACGTTTTTTTAACAATTATGTATCAGACTTTTTCGAATCAAAAACATAGTCTTCAGCTTTAAGGATCATACCGAATCTCAGAGCTTTGTCCTGATTTACCGGCAGCCTTGTTTGTCAAATAGATTCAAGTTTTAAACTGGCAGTTTAAGTGCAGTTTTTTTCCAGTCAAAATGTGTTGGATGCCTTGAGCACAAAATCAAAAAATGAAAAGTTGTATGCTTGATTGATTTTAACAATAACTAAAACTATAAGAAATTTGTATTTTTGGCC